CACTTAGTGGTTCATTAGTTACAGAAAAAGATCGATGTGAAACTATGGGACATGTAATGACACCATCGAATTCAATATCATTATCAACAACATCAAATCGTTCGATTTCTACCGATGAAAAAAATAATTTAAATAATAATCGAAAAAATTTTTCTATACAAAATAGTTCATCTAAAAAAACATTTACCTTAAATCGAACTAGACAAAAACAATCATTAAGTAAGATTGTTTCTTTCAAGATGAAATTTAATTGTTTATTTCTTTTCATAGGTAAATCAAGTAAACAAACGTCTTCATCTCGTCAATTAATTGATGCATATCGTTTTCGTGATACATTACGAATGAACAATAATCATTTTTCTTCTCCACGTCCAAAAATCCGATGAGACATAACTGAATAAATTTATCTACTTACGTTCTATCTGTTGTATCTCTATCATAGTATACATTTAGATTAGAATAAAACCTACACAACATAGATCTGTCATTAGAATTGCTAAACTCAATAAATGTGATCGAATGTCTATTGTTGATTTTGAAATACGGTTGTTTTTTTCTTGTCTAATGAAAAAACACGTATGGATTCCGATAGATGGAAACTTAATGATCGCGAATATTTGTTTTCTAAATGCATATTCAAAAGCAATAAATGAAACCAGACTAAATAATTAATCATGTTTGTTATTCCAGTCATACTATGTGGGTACTTTGAACTGCATTGAGTAGCTGATCTTTTTAATCATTTGACATGATTCTTTGAACCATAGCTATCCGATGGTCATTTTAATTACGTTATAGATAGACAGAAATAGTCGAATTTCTGTTCTTAGAGTTAAATTTTCAATTTACGAAATAAACTGGCTAAGAGAAATCTTTCAATGTGTTGAAAACTTTACCGCATATTGGATAATCTGTTGCATATAACAAAAAAACAAAATCTTATTCTGGTAAATGTTGACTAGAGCCTGTCAGGTGGACTCTGATCTAAAATTTTTCTGTTAGTCGGGTCCAAAAATTTTGATCTCGAGGAGCTGTGATGTTCGTGTGAATCGACAAACGAAGACGGTTGATTTTAAGTTTCCGTTTTTGTTTTGCTTTTTATTACTGATTGAAATGCTCAATTATCTTTCTCGTTATTCATAAAGTGTTTAAGCAATTTAAAATTAGCTAGTTAATTATGTCGGAATATGTTAACAACAAACTGATGTTTTATAATAGGTACTAAATATATGATAAAAATTACCTGTCAAATATTTTTCCATTGCAGATTTAGAAAAGCTGAATATATCGACAAATGGATATGATCTCGAAATTGTTTGAATTGTCATTGTTCAAAAGAAAACTTTATTTTGTCATTCACCTGTATCATTATTCACGATGTATTTTTTATATTGTCTTGCTCTCAGTTGACCCTTTTCATGTTCTTTTATTTTTACTTTATTGTCTCTACTTTTTACATTTAACTCGTGTTTGTTTTGCTTTCGTTTATTTATCAAGAGAGTATTGTTTTTGTTAGTATTATTCTTTAGTACATAAAAGAAATGATCTTAAAGTTCTGAATAGATTGTACTTTTTTTGGACTATTTTAATATTTGCTTTAAAATTTTGTAAACAAAATATACATTTGAAAGAAACATACAACATATGTGCAACTAACATCGTCAAATAACAATAAATGTTAATCTATTGCTGCACATCATATAATTATATGAACTTTAGCTTTTAGATGAATTTTTATAAACATGACTTAGTACTTGTAAAAACTAATATTTATTTTTGATTAAAATTTGAAAAATATTTTTTGCAACTTTGATAACATCAAGATATAAGTATTTTAAAGTTTTTCGGAACTTGAGAATCATCGGAAAAGTTTTGTGTGTTAAATCAGAAATGATCAATTTGGATGGTTATTTGAGGGTGTAACAAAATACCTTGTGAAGTTTATTCTATTGAGAAATCTTTAAAGAATAAAAACTGAAAGGGTTTCAATATATTTCATAAAGTCTGACATTGAAAACAAACTTTCATTAAGTCAGTTTTTCACTGATCACCAGAAACATTTATTTTCTTATACTTTTCGTTGATCAATAAACGTTTAACTCCTATTGTTAACAAAAAAAAATGTAAACAATTAAGATTCTAGCTTCTTCGACAAGGCAATCAGTCTTAATTTAGAGAGCTTAATTAACTCTGTTTTCCTCAATCTAATTTTCAATTGGGGACTACTGCCGACAGATGTAACCTTTTGTGTCCTTCTTAGATGATATCATCTATGAATGTTTGTGTTAAAACTCTGTGTTTTTCAATTATTTACCGAAGAATCACATGATTAAAGTGGTTCTTCAAGTCCAATTCGCTATTGCGTACATTAAAACTATTTTTACCTTTTAAAAAAACAAACATTTATAATCAATTATATTGTAAGAGCAACATTTTGTTGATCTACAAAGCATCTTTTCTCTTGATTAGTTGGAAAATACTAATTGCAATTTTACTAAATTTCAGTACCAATAGTTGATAGAAAAAGACAAATCATCATGTGTGTGTTAAACCATATGCTTCTATTTGAGTTGAATAATGCTTTACTTATGGTGTATGTAGTTCGAATTTCAAGTAAAGTATTTTTTTTTCACAAATGATCAAAGATAATAACATTTTGCAAGAAAACATTCATGTAATCATTTCAACTACTCTTATCAATGTGTAGTGATTCATGAAAACAATTTCGAAAGAAATGTGAATAATAAACGAAAGTTTTTCTTCAAGGGTTACAACGTCTATAATTGTAATGATGTGTTATAGCGTACATGACAGGTTATTACTAATCTGGCAGCATGTATTTATTATTGAAGTCTGTCACCTACTCGTTACTGACAAATCATTAAAAAGATGGATACTATTACTCATGAGTGGTATTCAAATATTAGACAAATAGTGTGTTCTCACAGCAGTTAATCTATTAGCTGAAATTACTTATTCAAAATATTTTAAAACGAAAGGAACGAAATAGTTTTATGTTTTTTTTATTGATAAAAAAATTCCTTGATCGTCATAATCGAGGTATTCAAAGAGCTTAAGAACACTTCGTCTATTATATAGATTGGTAATGGTCATGTAAGAAACGGTTGAATTCAAGCAAATTACAAAGGTACAATAATGACGTTTGATTGCGATAATAACCTACAGATCATATTTTGATCCAATACTTTGTATCGAACAATATTTTTTAAAGAAATCAGTTTTTAATATGTAAAATATTTTATAAATTTATATTTTCTATTCTGTTTTAATTTCCATATAACTTCCTATACTTCGAAGACAAAAATAATCAAAGATCTTATTTCATAATACAATAAATTTGTCTTGAATACATTGCCCATCGATAAATAAAATGTACATTTATAAATTTATTGATTTTTTTTTTAAATTTTTTTGTTATTTCTTAAATACAATTATGAACTTAAAACAAAAAAAAAAAAAGAAAAGAAAAAGAAAAAGAAAACGAGAAATTTACAAGCCGAAAATACACACGCACAGTAAAACATAAAATAAAGAGAACAACAGTGAAAAAAACATTCGCCGAACTGACAAAAAAAATGTAAAACAAACCGACTGCGCATATAGTTACTTCCACCAGCCAAACTTCGCATATATATAAGAATAAAATATAACTTATAAAAAATATATATATGTATATATGTATAGATATATAGATTGATATCGATCTCAGTCCATACTGTACACAAACTCATACAATAAAAAAATACAACAAATAACAAGATAACATCCATTTTCTTTGTAATTTTTTTTTTCTCAATCAATAAATTTAATAAAAATATACAAGCACAACTTAGTTGCTAGATTAGTTTAAAGAGGAAAAACAAACAATTTTTTTTATAGTTTTTCGTTTATGAATGTTAAGCCCTTAATTTTAAATTGCAAAGACACACATCACATAATAAAATTTTTTTGTCGAAAACAAAACCGGATGAGATTCACATGCACTTTTCTATACCACAAACAGATCGCTCAATATACGTGATAAATAGAAAACAAATAAACATTCGGTTTTTTAAACCGTTGATTGTTTGTTGAAAGAAAATAAAAATAAAAATAGGTCATACATATATATATATGTAGAATAGACAAAACGAGGTTTTCTTTTGTTAACATAGAAACAACGATATCAGTATCAACAAGTCAACTATGTTATAACATAGTTCTCGTTCACTCACGTACAGACTACACCGAACAACAATGGGAAAAAGACGAAGAAGAAAGGAAACAACACAATATAGAATCGAGTTAATATTGAATATGAAATGGAGTAGAGAAATAAAATGAATTAAATAAGTTCTCTCTTCACCAGTATTGCACGAAAGACGAAAAACAATAGCAACAGATATCTTCCATCATTCAAAATCTTTCTTTCTTATGCGGTATGTATATTGCCCATGGGCACATGCTAATGCTTCTACCGTTTCATATTGAAAGCTCGAATCAACAAACAAGCAAACATGATCTGACTTAGAACTCTACTCACCGAGATATATATACACAAGAAAAACTATGTACAATGTAAACAGTGTGTTTCGGTTTATAGACTAGGTTGGTGCCACTCACTCTTATATCATATATAAAAAATAGAGGGAAAAAAATCAAAAGAAAAAAAAAATAATTTTTTTTTTGCTCACGGCATTGGTATTAAATCAGTTACTATAAATTTCTTTTCAATTAATTGGTTTGTTAACAATCGTTCTCGTCTTTCGGGATAAGAAGAAACAAATGGAAATGTCAAATGAAGAAAAATTTCCTGTCAGCTGATAAAAGAAAAATATCATCTGACTGGAGAAAAAGAAAAGAATCGGGTTTGGTACATATTCATAAAATATAATTTCAAACGCACGCACCTAGTTAATGAGTTGTTGACAGTTATCAATTGCTGCTTGAAGCTATAAGTGTGTTTGTTTATGTGTGTGTGCATGCAATATCAATATTGTTTATCGACATAAAACATGTTTACTTGTTGTACTTGTTGATGAAGTATTATTGGGCGTTTCGACAATAGTTTGTTGATCGTTTCTTTGTTGTTGTTGTTGATGATGATGAAAAAAATTAAAATGATTTGGTGTTTGTGTTAAACTAAATATTAAATTTGTTGTTGGTGAACTGGATATTAATGGAACGGTTGCTGTTTTTGCCAAATTTTGATTTTGTAAAAACCCATGACGTGATAAACGAGAATTTAAATCATCTAATGAAGATGTTGGAGAAAAGCCAATTGATTGAGAAAATTGTGAAGCTAATGATGATGGAGAAAGACAACTGGTTATTGAAGAATTTGTATCACTTAATTTTGATGAATATGTTATTTCCATAGGAGCTGATGGAAATGGACGATTATTTGGTATATCTAAATGATTTTTATAATATTTATTTATTTTTTATTTATAAAAAAGAGAAAAAGAAATATTGATGATACCTTCTTCATCTTTTCGTTTTTGTTCAGCTGCAGCAGCAAGAAGAAGTAATCCAGATGATCCTTAAAAACAAAAATAAAACGATTTAATTTTAAAATAAATTTTCATAAAAACAAACCTTGACTCATGTATGGTTTTGATTCAGTTATCATCGAATTATTTGTTTCATTATCCGATTCACCATCAAAATTCGATTCATCTGCTTGAATTTCATTCGCATCTGACTTCGCTTCTAATACAAAAAAAAAACAATTTTTAGTAAATATAATAAAGGAAACGAAACCTCAGAAGACTTACTCAATTCACGTTTCTTTCTTGGACCATCGACTGTTATTTTGATTGCTCGACGATAGGTACATTGTTGTGGGGGTGTTGTTTCAATAACTATTGTTAATGTAAATTTTTTACCTGAATAAATATTTATTTATTTATTTATTGTCATAGAAGATAGCAAGTTTTTTTTATTCATACCTCTTCCACTAGCGCCTAAAAACCGTAAATCATTAAATTCTGCTTGACCACCACGGAACCAACTAACATTATTTTTGAGTGTTGCACATGGGTTATAATCATTACCAGCAAAAACAATAACTCGTGTGTTTGTTTTTATATCGATATGACGTTTTGTACGTAAAATAAAACGAAGTGATTTGTTTTTTCTCCAGTGACTACAGAAAAAAAAACAAAGAATATGTCTTTGTTTTTTTTTTAATAAAGAATAAATTAGAAAATTTTAGATTACCTTGGTAATGATGAACATTGAAAATATGGATTTAAATCTACAAATGTATTTTTTGTACGTGCCAATAACTCTTCAGCTGGTGAAGACATTACTGAGCATCGTTTCATTATATGTGTTGAGTCTTTTGCTGTCATAATTGATAATTTTTTATCGGTAGAAATAATTGGATGAACAATATGTGGTGAAATCGTATTGTATGTTGGATTAGATTCTGTTGAATGATTTGTACTCGTTGATGATTTATCACTTTCCGTTGATAAACGTCGTCGTTCATAAGCCATTATTCACAAATTATTTTGTGGCTTATAATAATACAAATTCGTATGTACAATATGTATAAGGTTTTAAAAAAATAATAATATAATAAATTAGGCCAATTCGACCTAAAAGAAAAAAGTAAACACTAAATTACATACAGATGATTTGACAAAAACATAGATGTTATTAAAAAAAAACCAACATATATTAAATATATTGAAAGCGAAAGAACATAGGTCAATATCAATCGATTCACTTTTCTATATTATGAATCAAAAAGAAAATAAATAACGTATTAAAAAATCATAACACCTGCAACTCGTGATAGTTTCTCGATATATTTATAGTTTGAATGTAGTGCAGTAGAATATGTCAAAAACAAAATGAAAAGAAAAATATTTTATATTACACAATCTATGAAAATGATAGAAAGAAAAAGATGTATCGAGCACATGACACAATGATGTCTGTTCTATACTGTCAAACTTAATATTACTAATATGTATACGAAGAACTATACGAACATGGAATTGAGAAATGCACTCATGTAACCTTATCTCTATGTTTATAATGTATTTAGTTTTAAAGCCTCATGATGATGTGGACTACGACTACTGCCAATGTACTACTGCGTAATGCTGAATGAACTATTTGGTTTCTAACGTCATAAGATATAATGGTTTTTCTCTCTCTTTGTAGTGAATATATTTTCTCTTTCTCTCTCTCTCTCTCTCACTCTTTTCACCCTCTGATTTGTTCCTTCTCAAACCATCGCGCAATTTCTTTCTCGGTCGTTGACACAGTGTCACGTTCCTTTTTTTGCTCTCTGCCTCTGTCTCTGTCTCTGTCTCTCTTTCTTTTCTTCTCTCTTTTGCCTTTCTATGACGCTAAAAAAATATGATATGCTTCTCTTGTTTTTTTTTGTGGTCGAACTATTGCTGCCATTGATAAAAACATAAAATATATGCATTATCGGACAAATTTATTTATGCAATTCTATTTCAAAGAAGAAAATTTCAGTGCATTTTTTTTTATCAAAAAAAAAATAGAAAAACTTTACAACTTCATTTCGTTATCGGTATATATATATATATAGATTTTAGTAGATTCATTTATCGTCGAGAGCTTTCTTTATTCATTCCTTCTTTTTTTTTCTCTTCCTTCCTTTCCTTTCCTCTGTCCCGCTCTTTCTCTCTCTCTCTTTTTTTCTCTTTGTGGTAGGAATAATTCGTGAGTTGCTGTTTTTTTTTTGTGGATATGTGCCAAAAAAGAAAAAACATGACGTCATGGAATCGTTTATTTACGTAGGTGGACCGATGTATGTTTATAGCAACTAACATTCACATCCAAACATTTTCTAGTGCATTGTAATTCTTGGTAAAGAAAAGCAAGGAAAACAAAAATATGTACAATATGTAAAGAATATAGACATATACATATTACTGACGCAATTTTTCTTTTTTACTAATAATCATAATTGACAAATGAATATAAGGAATGTATATGTTGTCCACCTCGTGACTGTAGATAATCAGAAAAAAAAAGTGCAAAAAAAACAAATGAAAACGTCTACAGGTATAGAAAGAAGAAAAAAACCGCCGTCATCATTCTTCTTCTTATTATTACCGATATCACGAGTATCGAATGTTTTTCGTCTTTCTTTTTTTTTTCTCTGTTGTATGTGTGCACTTTGACACTGTTGTAGAAACCGACTGATAGTGATGGTGGTTGTTTGTGGTAAGATCAGAAAAAAAAAACAAGACGACATAGAAACGGAAGCCGCCGATGAAATACATCGGAAACTTTGTTGTGTTTGTGGTGAAGAAGTAGAAAGAGAAAAAAAAAATAAGAAAGAAAAAAAAAATTATGATCTTTTCTTACTTATCCGAGCATGTTTGCTCTGAACTTTGCCTTTCTTTTTTCTCATGTGTTGTTAAAAATATTCATATGTAAATCAAATTAAATAGACAGTATTTTTAAGACTGAATAGTTGTGTGTTGAGAATAACGAATATTGTCAGATATTTTTGAAAATTATTCTTTTAAAGTATGAATTCAGGTTAACTAATGTTCTTTATTATAAATAAAAAAAGAATTTGTTTCCAGGTCAAGTAATACATATCGGTGAAAATTATTTATTATCAAAAGATAATAGAAATTGAGTGAAGAATATAAATGTGAGAAAAAAAAAACGACAGTAAAAAAACAAAAAAGAAAGACAATTAAAGTGAAATGTGATATTAAAGTCGAGGAAATTAATCATGATCGTTCGAGACACCGATTGGCTATAAACCTCTATTTATGAAAAAATATTTACCTTTAAGTTTTGCATTCGTAATCGATAGACATTATCCTCATCATAATTTAGGTTCTTTGTTTTCATCGAAATATGTTTTTTTGTTATTTAATCGTATTTATTTTATTTTTTGCTTTGGCTTTTTTGGATTCATAAATGTCATTGTGGGTCTAATCAGAAATATATGTCATCACAAATATTTATCTAATTAGTTTAGATTCAATTTTGGAAATTCTAATTATAGAGCAATGATTCAATTTTAGAAAATGTTTTAATTAATGTTTGTCGTCGAGAAAAAATAAAAGAGAGCAACTAACTGTAGTCCTCTTTTCAAAAGAACATACAACCTACATAGCGATGATGCATATACACATACATTTACCTTAGAAGTATCTCGAGCGTGAAATACTCCCTTCCCATTCTCCTCATAATTTTGGTCACTTTTGAATACCCCTGATTTGTCTAAATATCCATTAAAATATTGACATTATAAATCAATATCAAAAGAACACAATTAATTTCGAAATTCCAAAATAATATATATGTACGATGAAACTATTCATATGTAACTATTTGATAGAGGTTATTTTTAATGTTTCTTATCTTTTTTTTTTAATACTGTTCAACAAATGTTTCTGTACTGGTTTGCTTCTGTATTTTTCGATGTTTCTCATCCGGTTTTTGTTTAAAAGCCATATACATGCATGTTTGTGTCACTCTTTTTTGCCTTTGAATAATATGTCATACTGTATATGAGTTTCTTGGATTATTTATCAAATAAGCATATATGCATGATATAGACTGTAATGCTTCTTATTATCTTAAGTCAACTAAATATAATCCTAATATTAAGTCAAAACAAAAGAAGCTCTTCTATTGAAAAGGATTCTAAACGACAAGTAATAATTATTCTTTTTCATAACTAAGTACAAAGCTTTTTTCATAACGGTCAAAAAAATGACTTATGTTAAATGACAAATGGTTCTAGTTGTCAATTAGTTAATACAGAATAGGAAACAAAATAAAAATGTATTGTATGAAGAACAAAAACGTTTGCTGTCGATTGATTTCAATACAAACGAGAAGTACATTTCAAACTTTTATGCATGAATAATATTACTAGTTAAAAAAACTTCACATATCATATATTGATATATATTTTATGACGTAAAAGTAAACCATTTTTTCTTATATTCTTCTTTTTTTTTTATTTCAAGGCATTTACAGAAAGAAAAACCAATTCAACAGTTGAGAATCATAAATTCTCTTACAGTTGGACAATTCATAAAATGAACATAATTAGACAGATGCTACTAATACATATATTTTATGATATGTAATGTGCATAAGTCTTACAAGAAATTAAGATTTGTAGAGTAAAAAATCTCTTCAAAAACAATACCTCGACGAACTTTGTACGGCTTACGATTGATTTTTGATTGTAGGTTAATGAAGAACTTCAATGGACATTGAAATCAAAATGTTCGATTAGAATTGTGCATCGTACAAATCTTGTTGACTTCTTATCTCATAAGAAATTGTTTACTTTACAATCCAGTCAAATTTCTCACACAAGATGGAACTACCTCAACTGTAATTCATCGTTCGAACTCATATTGGATCCATGATGAAGTCTCGGCAAGACTAGAAAAATTCTAAAAAGTTCCTGTTCATGAACCTTTCGAGTCCCGCTATGGTTGTTGAACTGAATTTTTTATTTATTTTTAGGTATTTACTGGAAAATTAAATAATCCAATTTCGACTAGAAATTCAACCTATAAAAAGATCTAATGATTTTTAAGATATTCTCAAAGCTTCAGTCGAAGAGAATATTCATTTCTTGAGCTGTTGGGTTTCCAACACATAATTGCTTGTCATAAACATATCAGAAAAAAAACAAGATTATTTAAAAATTCAAGATCTCAATACAGGAGCATTCTTTTTAGTTGAAACTTTCAAGATATTCCAAGAGCCATTAGACTGACATATGGATGAAATTACAAGTCGAATTTCTATCATTTGATTTTGCAGTAAATATCTAAAAATAGTACGAGAACGCAATAAAACAGCCATAACAAGAGCTTGTCAGGTTGGTCCCAAGTTTCCAGCTGATGGACTCTAGCGTAGCCACCAAATACGAAAAACTAGAAAAAATTATCTCGTATCTTTGGGATGACTATCCATTCTGATTAGAAAATTTCAATGAAAGTGTCAAAATACTGTTCGAACAAAATTGGATCCAAAAAGTTTTGACCCGACGGGCTCAAGTCATAATTCGAATTCAGAGATCTATAGATATGAACCTTTTAAACTGGTTTTTAGTCTTACTAAGATGCTTTTCTGACTCCATATGGGCTCAAGATGTTTGATAATATCTCGGTTTTTTTAATTGTGAACGTTTTATGAAAAAAAAGAGTAACAATTTCATTTGAAAGGTTTGTTTATTTTATCAATCGACATCTTATTTGCATGACGTTGAATATATAAATCAAAACATAAAATACATGTTCATATTGCATTTTGATAGAAAGAAAGAAAAAAACAAAAAGTTAATGATTACATATAAGCAAATATTTAACGGATAAAACCCTGAGCTTGTTTATGTTTATCAAAGAAGAAGAAGAAGAAGAACCAGAAGAAAATAATAATAATAATAATAATAACTAAGGATTCATCGTTATATTGATAATTTTGTTTTCATATCTTGCATATCAATAACTTGTTCTTG